TACTACATTCACATTGTTGTTTCATGCAACTAAACAGATTACGTTTTTATTGATCAACATATAAACATTTGTATCATTATTTATGTAATAATCATTTAAACGAAATATAGAACTAATCATACATAAGAGTTCATGTTCATGACCAAAAGTACTATGGTCACTAGTATTTGGAAATGATTTTCCAATAGCAACGTGAGAATCCATATGAATTTCAAACATAATATGCTATAAATTATTAAAGTACTATTATTTAAATATTTAATTACTGTTGAATAATCAGTGAATCAAGGCAGTTTTAACTGATGAAAAATAATAAGAATGATATTTGTTTGAAAACGTTTTTATAACATTATAGTGAATAATGTTATATTTGTTATAAGATAATTTGTTATGACGTAATTATAGTCTTTATCTACGAATATGTGCTTTATTTTCTAATATGTATTAATTTACAATCATAACCAATAGATCCTCAAAATCGAAATAGTATATTTTTGTAATAATACTTTGTACTCGGGCAATTTTCAAATCTAGTACATATGTTAATCAGAAAATGACATGTCATTTCAAACGATATCTATGACAGTTATTTTAGTTTCATAAGCAGCTGTAATTGTTTTTCTTCCAGTTAGTTTATCTAACATATAGATACAATAATTGCTTTTCTACCAGTCAGTTTATCTAGGATATCGAAACAATAATTTTTTTTCATTTACAAATATGAATCAAAGCATTTATCTATTCTTTATACTTATTAGCTCAATATTTGCAGGTAAATCTTCCAAAATAATATTATATTAATTGATAACTATATTATTCATTATTAAACTTAACAGCTACGACATCATATAGTACAATACAAACCAGTATAGTAACAGACACAACATCTTTAATAACACAAATTTCAGGTAAAATAATTGTTTTTTTTATTACTTAATTATGATATTCATATACAGAAGTTAGTCCAGTACCACTCCTTATATCTTTACATGATAAACTTGATTATCATACTTATCAGACACGTCTATTAACCGATACTGCCGAAGAAAATCGTGTTGCACTTAAGCGTCTTACAATAATGATGTCGCATTTATTGGATAATAATACGAAAGCAACAATAAATTATACAGTTGATGAAGAAAAACAACGTATTGAACCTATGCTACATGTTGACAACGGTAAATTATTTTTTTCTTATTTACATATAGTTTATGTTAACTTACTGATTATATCTTTATTTTACTTTTCTAGTTGTTAAAACAGATGATCATGTATTACCTCTATCATATAATGTTGATGCGGATCCGGATCAATATCCATGGGTTGTAGCATTAAGTAGAGACGATCGTAATCGTTGTGGTGGTATCTTAATTGATAACCAACATGTTCTAACTACTGCTCATTGTATTGGTATTCGTTATACGGTTGTACGTTTAGGTAGTCATTTATATGATCAAGGCGAAGAAGTAAAACCTAGTTTTTATTGTGTTCATCATGCATATTCATCAGCAAATTATTATCGAAATAATTTAGCAATAATACGTCTTGCTAAACCTGTATCTGTTCTACAACCACTAAATCGTGTATCAACAATTGATATATGTAATTCAACTAATATTAGAAATACAACTGTATCATCAAATACAGTTGATCTTCGAATGGTTGGTTGGGATTTAAATTATAATGGTTTTCCGAAAAATGCATTACAACATGCTCGAGTAGCTTTAACTAATACTTCAAGGTGCACGGGATCAAGTAAATATACGGATGTATGCGTTCAACGTCGACCAAATACCAGTCCAATGGGGTTAATTAATTTATAAAACGATTTTTATTTCAAATAAAATAAATTCTTTATTCCTTCTAGAACATGTAAAAGTGTTGGTGGCAGTGGATTATTTCAACATACAAATTCAATGAACCACTGGTGTGTACTTGCTGTTGCTAGTTCATCCAATACTAAGAATTGTGAAGAGACAGAGTTGTCAACATATGTTAAAGCAGCAAGTCCAGATTATACCGATTGGTTTAAAAATGTATTAGATAGAAACAAATCTTTTGATGATTTAAAAAAAGCACAAAAATGTAAAACACATACATTGGCACAACAACTTTGTCTACGTGCTTCATGTTAAAATTCGTTTATCAAAAATTTTATGTTTTTAATCATGCAAAATTAAAATCTAAGACTTATACTACTAATTTAATCAAATAGATAGTCAATACATTCTCTTAGATTGTATAATTTATATTTAAATAAATTTAGTATGAACTCGATTTATTCAAACATAGAAAGTAAAATTATTCTCGTTGAATACTTCTATTGATTATGATGGTAATTATAATCATGATATCACTTTACATAAATGTCTCTCATCGATTTCAACTTTGATATATATTTATATACAATAGTATTATTGAGAAAAAAATTTGAACATAGAGCAAAAGAATTGCTGTAGAGAGCTCGAAAATAAAAATCCAGAAATTTGAAATGTCTAGAAAGCAAAATCTCGAAATACAAAAGTTCGAAAAATCACGATTTCGAAAAGGATGGGTATGGATGTGACTTAGGAATAGTACTCTCAGCCACATCCTCATGATGGTGAATAAGTGATGTGAAAGCTATAGATTATCGTGGAGTGTCACACTCAAGATTAGATGAGGCTAAGCATTAATAAAAGACGGATATCTATCATCTGAACATCTTATTTTTATTTTTCATTAGGTTTCTCAAAAGAAAATTCATAAGAAGATAAGAAATAGTATTAGACATATAGTGTAATATTGGAAATAAGTGAAGAACACTTGTTATTTGAAGGACATGATGTAAATAACACTTTTCACATAGATAAAAAGAAGAAATAGATAAAAGATACATGTTTATACATGACATGCAACATAACTTGTACCAACTTTGACAATTACTGAAATAGGCATTTAGTTTATGTTGTTGAAAATATGAAGTATATGAATTATTCATATTGAAGATATTTGTTGTGTCATAAAATGAGGACGTTGCCATCATCGAAGATGAATATGATGTAATTTGCTATTGATAAAAACTAGATGATGCACAAGCTGATATTGTTTGATCATCATCTTGTTGTCAACTGAATCTATACTGTCAGTATCAAAAGATTTCTTTTTGTTATTAGCAGTTTTAATAAACGAAATGAATTGTTTAAGTATAATAATATGAAACGTACTTACCTCTCAGGTCATTTTGATTTTGGTTTTTCTTTTTTTTCTAGCATTTTGTTTGTTTTGATTTTTACAAATGCATCAATACTTGTTATGCTTTCACCATAAGGTCTATCGATTTTCGTTCTTCTTTTCTCCATTGATATTATTGTTGGTTTCATATAATTGTCGATCGCAATTGTAATCGCATCAAGTAGTGAACGCGCGGGTGTGGATGGATGTGCGTTGGTGTTGTCTTGAATCACGTCTACCCACATCTACACACGAAAATTAATGGGCAGGAAGAAAGACCAGATATTATCTAGTTTATCTTTCGAGCAACTTTTATTATCAGCTATTTTCTATCAGGTAATTCGAATATGTCGAACCTACAGTTCTTGATTAGTATATCGACGATACATGATATAAGTAAACGAATAAACTGATGAGCAAATATGTTTTTTTCCTCTATTTATATGTGTGTTAGTTCGGGATCACACCCACATAGTTGGACAGAAAGTAAGAAAAGAAAACACTAGAGTAACATATTTAGCGAAAGAGAACGTTCTCCAATATACAGCATACGAGATATATCAACATCAGTTGGTATTTAGTCAGCAGTACGAAAAATTAAATGTAAAGACTTATACGCATCATTCATCTTCTCCTTGATCAATTATTATCCGGTGCTTTAGTTGCATTCTATAAGTTAGTTTATAATTGAAATTTTATTTATGACTTCTCTTTTCACATCAGTACGACTAATCGTTCGTCTCATTCGTGAAAAGTTTCTAAATTGATTTCCAAATATCTTTGAATACTCTAAGTGATTGCTTCGATCTTTGTACAAAATGCAATTCTTCCTCTAATCTCTGCTAATAGTTTAGGTCATATTTACTACTATCTTCCTCCTAAATTATTTGAATCAGAGAAACTCAAATTTGGATGGAGTTTCACACCGAGTAGTTCGTACTGGTATTGGAATACTATGTTGTTTCCGTTTAGGTCTATAATGATTACGGATATTTTTGAAATCGTTTAAATATGTTCAAGTATAAATCTGCTGTGGAAATCATATTTATTTGTGAATTTCAATGTCATTTTCTTGTGTTTGATTAATATCATCAAATAGTAGACGCAGTAACAAGCTATCATCGTAGAACTAAACTTTTACATGGTTCAGTGCCGTCACTAGAATATTCTTATCTTCATTCCTTACTATATCTGACAAGCAATCCCTCATATAATATAACAAAGAACGTAGTAGAAAAAGATATTTTAAATACGGTTTCTGGATAGACCAACTTCTCTAGAAGATGCGGGTGTGGGTAGACGTGATTAAAGTCAAAATCAATCCACACCGATCCATCGCCACACTAAATCAAACCACACCCATTCTCACCCACACCCACACCCTAGAGTCAGAGTAAATCTAAGATGATGGTTTTCTAAAGTTACACGGCTCATCTCCCTTTCCTTTTTTCTGTTGCTTTCGATTGGTGATACTGTCAAACTTCGTATAAAGTGCTTTTCCAAGTAATGCCAGAGAAAAGAAAAAGCAGTAGTGTTAAACTTGAAAGTTGAATTCAAATATTTATTTATTGAATACTTGAAGTTTTCACCCACATCTACACACACCTTCGAGATGGTGAGGGTATTGGTGTTTAAATTCACCCACCCTCAACCAGTTGATGAAATGTTTTTAACAGACTAATAAAATATATCTACTACTAATTATGATAACCAAAGTTTTTTACTTAAAAAGTCGAAAATAAATATCATTGTGATCTTTATTCTCTTTTATTCGATAACTATCAGTTTTAATTTAATGTAAAGTATGAAATTATAGTTGAAAGTTTATCATCATTGAATGTTACTTTTAACTTCTTCTCATTATTACGAACAAATGTATTCATTAGAAAATTTGGAGAAACTTTACAAAAAGATATCTTTTTCATACATGTAATTCGTAACAATTTGTCGAAAATAAAATCGTATCAAATATACTTATACACAGTTATTTAGTACAGATACTCATATTTTCATTTAGTTAAAGATTCATGTTTTATGCTTATATTTCTTTTAAGATTCCTCGTTGTTAAGAATGGTTTTAACAGAAACTATAAATAAATAAGAAAATATATAGTTGTACGAGTACGTCACAAAATAGTGCAACAGCAAGAGTAACAGGCACATTTGTCACCGAAGCATCCGCAGCAGTTGAGTGGATAATCGTTTTCGTAAATCACTTGTCCTTTACCATTAACAGGAAACTTGCAAAAACGGAAAGTATTGCCTATAAGTAGAGAGTATGGCAGAATATATCGATACATGAATAGCTTACCTAATGCTGAATTTTTTTTATTAACATATTTCATGTTGAGAGTGTAGTGAACTTCTTCAAAATCCAACTTTTCTATTGTGCAAACCAATCTGCGCATTCTATTATTATTTCCTAATGTTGGCTGAAGATGTTTCTCCTGATATTCCCTTATAAGATTCATTTTCAGCTGGATCTTCTCATGTGCTTGATCCTGTTGGAGCGAGCGAACAAATTCATTGATGGATGCATCTTTTGACCATGGCTGTTGTGTATTTCTCCAGAAGACGACACGTTGTGCTTTCTCAATTTGTTTCTCAGGTAGAAATGAATTTTGGCAGTACCATGTGGTTATTCGTGTATGCCATTCAGCTCGCAAACTAGCTGAGTGGTAGAATCCACCATAACCTTTACACGTTGAGCAATGCACTTTTCCTCCACCTTTACAAACTGAGCAACGGACCTTACCATTGTTACATCCGCATATAATAATGTGTGTTGCTGTTTCTGTTCGACCCTGTCCATTGCATCGAGTGCATCGAACTTCACCACTTCCACCACATTCTGACAGTTTGCATGTTTTTAAGCCTTTTCCTGTACAGTCATCACATCTGGTCAAATAGTTACAATGAGGCAATGCTCGTTCATCTGTTGACTTTTCGTCCGACGACGGAAGCTGGAAGTTGTAATCATTCCATATATTGCCTATCGGTTGACCACCACGTTTGGTATCCTCGAACCATCGACCTAGAACAATGTAATACTGTGTAACAGAAGAAAAATTTCGAAAATGATCACAAGATATTTGATGTGGTATATTGACTGCCACCCAGAAAAGCTCCCTAAGGTTCTGATAAACTTTATTTAATTTCGTAAATACGTAGTATACACTTTAGATGTAGTGAGGCTCCTCATAAGAATTGCGTGCACTTGAATGCTGTTTGACTGGGCGCATTACAAGGGCCTTTTAACAAATTTGTTCCGATAACGAACAATTACTGACGGAAAAACTACTTGTCTTTTCCCCGTCAGTTAGCCATCAAAATCTTAAGGGCTAGGACTCTATAACATTGAAACAGGCGCTGGCGAAAATAAGACATTTATTCCTTATAATGTTAGCGTTACAATACTTTTGATACAATCTAGAATTAGCAAAATTTATGCTTTGATAAACCATTTTCACACGTAGAATGTGATCTCAGGAAACTCACCTAAAGTAGTACTGGCGAGTATTGTTTCATGGTTCCACGTTGCAGGTTCTACTTTCCAATGTTCACTTCTGACTTCCATAAGTATCTTTATCTGACATTTGTAGGCAACTTTCGGGTGCACGTTTACAAGTTCAGCTGTTTCGAGTGGTACCGAGTGATAACAACATTTTGAATCCACATATAATTTGAAATCAGTCAAAGATTTTGGCAACTGCCGTGGTGGTAGCGTTGCTGACGGAGAGGATGACGCGGATGGAATTGTTGTCACAGTTTTTGGCAGCTGATTCGGATCGAGTACGATTTCTGGATGTACTTTAGCCATTATATAAGTTGTTTCTGCGAGTACGTACGGGTGATTGAAATACAAAATATGATGTCTTACGTGCTTCTTCTTCCCATAATGTATGAGCCGTATGCAGGAGAAAATAACGAGAAAAAAATGTGTTCTTATCTGGTTTATACCTCACAACGAGTCGTTTTATTGCTACTAACAATCTACCTTGTAGAAAGTTGAGTTATTTAAGAGCTTATGAGATTAGAATCTAATAAAACTTGAAAAATAAAAGTCAGACACATGCATAAAACAGAGAGCATAGATATTTACGCCATATTTGAAAAAAACGTCAATGGTTAGTTAGTTTTAACTTACTAAAAACATATAAGTAGCCGAAATGATTCAGTCGTAGACGCTCTTTCTTTTATCTATTTGAAAATCAACTCTGATTTTATTGAAAGTGAATGTGGGTATTGTGTTTTTATCTGTACCCATACCTACCCACACCCACACCCGAAATTATAATGCATTCTGATTGACTTTCAAAACAATAGTGGTTTAAAGTCATTTGTATCCAACATTAGATCATATTATCTGATGTACTGCATCCCATTAGAAAATTTTATTATAGCCATGTCTGACAATTGTTGCAAAGATGCAGATAAACGGTGTAGTGGGTGGATCATATCTATAGTACCCACACCCACATCCCGTTATAGAATTTGTTGTTGTCATTGATGAAAGAAAACATAAAAGTGCAATTAAATTGTCTTACAAAATTCACAATCTTTTATTCTTTATTTTAAAAAAGTGTAGCGAGTATAGTTATCAAATAGCAATTCTGATCGTTTTGATATAAAAGCTAAGATCAGAAGCATTGCTTGTAGATCTATACAAAAACACAATGATATGTCTGCGTCATATCTTCTTGCTCTGTGATAGCGGATGGCCTAATGACGAATGTTGTCATAGAGTAGGGTTGAAAGATAATTATGGAGAACAGAAGAAAAAAAAGAAATTATACTATTGGCAAAGAATTATATATATGGATCAAATTATTGAGTATGTCACGTACTCCGGAAAATAAAAATCTGGAAAAAAAAAAATTATCTCGAAAGATTTTATCGTGTGGGTGAGGATATTGAGGCGGAAGATGAGTAGTCTGTACCTACATATTCACAACTACATTCATCCTCATCTACTCCACGCCCGTACCCAGATTTTCTATTCCGGATTTATTTTTTCCGGATTATTTGACATCACCATATTATTGACATAGAAATAATGACTTCATAAGAGATTTGTCGATCAAACAAATAAAAACAAAATCCATTTTCTATACGAGCAAGATTATTGTTAATAACTTTGTTAATTATTTACCAAAGAAAACTAATCTCGTAGCTGTTATTGATCGTTCTCTTCCTAATACATATCAATTAAAAATAGAGCTTGCCTAAAAAACAGTATATATATATATAACAACCAACTTCTTGTTCTGTAAGATTCTGATCTCTAAATCTATTCTAGCAGTATACAATGTTGTTGAGTAGTATCTTTGATTATAAGATACCTAAAGTTGTCATTATTCATTCAATTCCATGTAAGTATTGAAATTTTAACTATCGAAAGAAAATAGAAGATATCAAATCTAGTTACATTGGTATGTCGTTCTATTCAACTTACTATTTTATATCTGGGTATTCTTTATTTAACAATATACCAACAAGGTTACCAATCACAAGATGAATCAATTATCTCAACAGTCTTATTTAAAATAAAAGTAGAAAAATTAAAAAAAATTCTTTTTTCATTAGAATTCAATTTAAACAGGGTATAAATTATAAACCAAAAGAACAAAATCGATCATACATTGCTGATGATGCAGGTAAGGAAAATGTTGAATTATAATATTTGATAAATTCATTTGAAATCTATTGAAGATTATGTTATTCATTCACAAGAAAAAGATGCAATATTCATAATGACAAATTCGATTGAAACTGATCAAGAATATAAACAATATCCTGATATGCTAAGTAGGATAATTTTATATACGTAGTATATGATTTTTGTTTATGTTTTAGGAGCACCTTATATGAGAGGAGCATTTTGTCTCAATAATAGTCAATGCCAATCAAACTTAGCATCAGAGGTATGTTGTCATATTGTGTAATGTGCAATGATAGATACTATTGAATTGAGATATTGATCTAGGATTAGTCGGGAAAAAGCTAAATAATTTATCTGTTTTTTTTAGACTAACGGCAAATGGACAGATCAGTCGAATATTGTTATTTAATCATGTATTAATTGTTTTCTAATTGTGAAGGTCGTTGTATAAAAGAAAATAGTTCTTCATCGAAAAAGGGTCTTTGTGAAATAGAAGGATGGTGTCCTATTATGAATGATTTAAATATACCAAACCCTTTAAAAGATGTATTAAATTTTCGTTTATTCATTAGAAATCGTATTATGTTTAAAAAATACTATGTCATAAGATCCAATATTATATTTGATATACCGTGCAATTATGATCCTAAGAATGATCGAATATGTCCAATCTTTCGTATTGGTACTATACTTGATATTGTTGAACCTGATCAATCAGAACAAAGAAAGATGTTAACGTATGGTGGTGTCATTCATATTCATATAGATTGGAGGTGTAATTTAGATCGATGATTAGATCAATGCCTGCCATCTTATTCATTTGTACGTTTAGATACACAATCTTATGAAGAAGGACCTTTACCCGGATATAATTTTCGGTAAAATTGATTATATAGTTTGAATAGAATATATCAATCTTATTTAGTTATGCTTCACATTGGAAACACGAGAATCGATCATTTCGAACATTAACCAAAGCATTTGGTCTTCATTTTATAGTCTCTATAAGTATCTTCTTTTCTATATTATTCTTTCTTTAAATATTGTCGAACTCTATTCTAGGTCACTGGTCATGCTGGTCGTTTCAGTCTCGCTGTATTAATTATTAATATTATCTTTATTATTGCTGTAATTTGTTTGATTACATTTATATTTGACATGATTGGTTTGCATATTTCTTATCGTTCAGCTGTCGACAGATCACAATAATTAGCCTTGTTTTTTTCAATGTAACTTACATGCTTATTTTTTCCTTTAAATGACAATATAAACTCTTTAAAAGATATGAAAAAACTATCTTTTTTTTCTCCTTAGTATGGACAATGTGACAGGATGCAAATATAAAAACCTTTAGTTAATATTAGAGATGTGTGCAAGGTCGAATGCTACACAAAGAACAAATATAGTTGTTCAAGCATTCCTGAAAACAGTGTCACACATATCAGAGAACTGACTCTGGATAGTTAAAAAATACAGTACGGATACATTGACTTGTATATCATATATATTTCTAATACATACTATATCAACATACCATTACAAATCGATTGAAGAATGCAGAGATAATTATTAAATGGTGATAAAAGACAATCATTTTCTTCTATCAAAGTTTAGCTTACTCGGATATACGAGTCACAGCGATCTTCATGGTGTGGGTGCGAAGAATAGACATCCACATTCTGACCCTCATCTTCACACCCACACCCTCAAGATGGTAGAGAATGTAATATATCTGATGAGAATGCTCTTGACCATTTCACAAAAACATATAAGATGAATCTATCTTAGAAAATTGTCAATTTTCAATTTAAAATAATACTGTACACCATGAATCACTGAATTGATGAATATTACTGGAATACTTTTCTCTGAAATTTTGAATTGTCTTCTAATAAATATGAGTTGTTTTATGAATTTAACGATGACGATGAGGGTGTGTGTGTGTGTAGGGGTGAATTCATCTTTTATTTACCCTCATTTACACCCTCAAGAAATGACTTTTTTGAGAGAGAGGGATAACTGATGAATTTTTTTAAGTGATAAATAGTTTATTCACGTCTATTTTATTAGAGACAATAGATAGAAATTAAACTACGATGATAAAAAAAATGTTTACCTGATATCTATGATAACTATCTACGATCCTATTGAATCGCTGACATATGTTTCTCATTGAGCATACAAATGTGAAATTCGGTAGACAAGTTCTACCGGTATCGTAAGGAAGTTAGCCACAGTTTGATTTGTCATTGTAGACTTATATGTTGATTATATGATATGTTGTTGGTTTTTCTTTCTATTAAATGAGTAGATGTTTATTCTGTCATTGGTTTCATACGATTTTACAATTACTCGTTAAAAGAAAAAATATGATGTCAGCTACAGAATTGCCATAACAACTGCACACAAAATTTTTGTTAAGATTGTTTTATTTATATGAAATGATATATAATAGACATGAATATTGTGTTCTGAGTAATAATTTTCCGAATCTCTTACCTGCGATGTAATGTCAAATCTAAATACTAAACTAACTAACTAACATATATAAAACAATTGAATTCCTTCTTAATATATTTTGTCGTTTTCGATCATCTCTGAATAATGAAGTTTTACATTACTATGTAAGAAATAATAAACAAAATTTTATATTGAATAAACAGAAAAACAAAAGTTCATCTTTAGAGCCCTTACAAAGGCTAGGTTAAATAATAAATTCCATGTATTACGATACACAAACATATAAGAGTACAGACAATAAGAACGAAAGAAAAATAGAAGATTTTTAACTATGAAACTATTCATTTTGTTAGGAATTAATAAAGAATGAACAAACTAAATCTACGTGTAGATAAAGTAAGAAGAGACAAGGTATGACGAGCTCAATATATAATATACATAAAGATATTTTTTTACAAAGAAAAATATACACTCGAGAAACAATTGAAGATTAACAACAACGAAATATAAGTATTCAATAAAAAAAAAGTAAATCAATAAAGTTTATTATTTTTTTTATTTCTTTTGACGTGTTTTTCGGGATGAAAGATTAGCAGGAATCGATTTTGTTGATATTATTTCGGCTTCTTTTTTTTCTAGAATATAAATAATGTAATAAAATAAACAAAAATATGATCTTAGTCATGATATTTACCTTTGAGTAAATTTGTTTCGATTTTAATAAGTAAAGCAACAAGATCGGCTTTTCGGGCACCTTTAGGTAATGTTTCATTATGTGTAGTTAATCGATTTTTGAGCTCGATAACAGTTAATCCTTCAATCTATTTAATAATAATAATTTAGTTGAAAATTTGAATAAAAAATTGAATATTACTTTCTCTCGTTCTTCTTGACTTAAATCCATTGGTATTATTTCTTCTACAGTAGGAAGCATTGTTTGTATTGTTTCTTCTTCATCAGCTGTATTCAATCCTTCATCTTGTTCTACACTATGTAATCGTCGTTTACCTTTTCTGGTTGTCGGCATGGTATTTTTACGTTTATTATTGATTGGAACTGCTGGTATTTCAACTGGACTAGTTTCTAACGAAGTTTTCTTGACTTTTTTTGATACATTTACTGTTGTTGGCGGTGGTGGTGGTAGTCGTTCAGTCATATCTACAGGAGATGTTGATATTCTTGTAGTTTTTGAACGACCTCGAGTTGAAGGTGCTTCAGGTGATGGAACTACAAAGATTAAGTATAACATTTTAGTTTTATAAAACTTTTCTCAGTTTCGAAATTACCTCGAGCAGATTGCTTAATTTCTACATGTTTTGAAGTTTTAGCTCGTTTCATAACTGGTTCAGTTGGACTCGTTGGTTCCGGTGGTGAAACAGTTGATGTTTTTGGATTTGGTCGTTTACGAGCAGCACGTTTTGTTGTTAAAACTGGAGATGTTGGTATGACAATAATATCTGGTTGTATTATAGGTAATTCTTTAATAGGTGATGATTTTTTCTCATTAGAAATCGATCGTTTTGATGTTTTCTTTTTCGATTGTGTTGTTGATGTTTCATGAGTATCATCTGTAGTTTTATGACGTTGATTACGAGTTATTCGACGAACTGGTGATTCATTCTAAATTAAATTAATAATTTAAATAAAAAAAGTTGAAAAAGAAAATTCAGTTTCAAACCATTTCTTCTGAACTATCATCAGTTTTTGTTGTAGGAACAATTTTTTTCTTTTTTGATGTTGTAATTTTCTTTTTTGTTTTTCTTATTTCATCTTCTGTATCTTCTTCACGTTCATTATCTGATAGAATCGATTTTGTATTATCAATAATAATATCTTGTTTAACATGTTTTTTTTGTTCTTCTTCTAATTTTTCTTTTGCCGTTAAACGTGCATCTGTCGATGGTGTAAATTGAAAACGAACATTTCGTCTTAAATGCATTATAGCTTTACTATGTAATGGTGTTCCTTGTTGCTGTTGTTCTTCTTCTTCTTTTTCTTCCTGGATAATTATTTTTGATCTTGTTTCAATCATTGGACTTGTTTGTTGAATTGCGATAGCAATTGAAGTTGTTTGACAACTTGATGATGAAGATGAACGAGTAATGATTGGTGTTGTTTGTTGTTCAATTGTTTGATAACGACGATAAGATAATGGATTAAGACTTGGTGTTGTTTGAATACCGATATCGACGCGACGAGGTGATTGAATAGGAGAAGTTTGAATACCTTCATCAGTCACATGTTGAACTAAAATTTGAAAAAAACAAAAAATAGAGTTTAGAAAGAAAAAGATGATGTTATTACTTTTAATAGGAATATCAATTTGTTGTTCATTGTCAAGCATTTCAACATCATCAGTAGTTAAATCGATATTTAAATGTGGTGGAGCAGTTGTTGAAACTTGTTCTTGTTCACCAATGGAAACCATTTGTAAAGATTTATTTCTAGCTGATGGTGTAGATGAATGAAGAGGATTAATATTTCGTCGAGGAGATAAATTTGATGATAAACGTTGACTTTGACGAATTGTTATTATTGGAGTTGGATTAGGTGATGGCGATGCTGAACCAGCTAAAGATTTTTGTAAAATAATTGGTGGTGCTTCACTAATAGCTGTTGGATTTGTTGAAAGTGTTGATAATGGTATTGAATATGTACTAAGTTGTTGCTGATCTTCTTCTTCACTACTCGCTGTTGTTTGTTGTTCAGGAATTGTAGTAATAAGAGAATGTGTTGAACGTGAATAATTTTGATAGTTTGTTATTATTGAACGACGTTTTTGTGAAGAACGAGTTGTTCTTGATGTTGGAGTATTATAAGTAAATTCACGAGATAAAACTGGCATTTTTGTATCAATTGGTGTATTGATATCTTGTTGAGGTGATATATGAGATGATGAAACTGAAGCACTACAATCAGCTTCTTCAGCACTTGTTGGTGATGTACTATTAATCTCTTTAGTTTCAGTAAGATTAAGAGTAATTCCTGCCATTTCTTCTTGTTCCATTTCATCTTCATCAGTTAAACTAACAACTTCAACAAGTTCAATACGTGGATAATCATCATCATCAATTTTATTTTCATTTTCAAAATATTCATTTTCTACTGGCGGATCTATAATATATAGAAAAAATATTTTTAATAATATTAAATTTCATAAGTATGTATAACATACTTGGTTTATTAATCTCTTCAGGAGTAGAATTGTCTGAAACAAGATCAATTGGTTCATTAATCTCTTCAGTAGTAGTAGAACTTTCTGAAACAAGATCAATTGGCTCATTTATCTCTTCAGTGGTAGAATTTTCTGAAGCAGGATCAATTGAAATTCGACGAGTACTTGAACGAAGTACACGTGATGTTGGTGTGGGTGATGGTATTGGAACAGACGAACGTACTGTTACTTTATTTTTATCTAGATGATTTTGTTAGAAAAAAAAATTAATAAAAAGAAATTTTCAATTACTTGATTTTGCTAATGGTGATTCAGTTTTAACTGGTTGAGATATTCTTCCACCGAGTCGAGATTTAATTAGAGCTCTATAAGCAACATCAGCACTTGTTGGTTGACGAATTGTAATTATTGGAGGTGGTGGTATTGGTGCTAAATAACTTGATTCATTTGTAGTATCTTTGGAATTATTTGGAAAATCATTTAATTCAAATGAGAAATTATTATCTTCTTCGGAATTTGTATCATCTTTTGGTGTTTCTAACAGTTCATCATCATCATTATCAGTAAAATTAAATGAATCTTCTGTACATTTTGAATTTTCTTGATTAAGAATTGTTCCACCTGGTGATGATGCTTCTTCTGTATCACTATTATCAACTGCAAATGGTGGTGGAATAGTTGAATTCATACTTGGCTCTGTTATACTTTCAATAGTTGGCATAACAAGAATATTCTGTGAAGAGGGTAAACTACCACCAGCTGGTGCATAACTTAAAAATGATGTTCCTGTTTGATTAATTAATTCAGTTGGTGTAACAATTGTCAATGAAAGTGATTCATGATTACTTTTGGGAGATTCTTGTGCAAGAGCTGTCATAGTTAAATTTGTATTTACTGAACCAAGACCTAAGAGATGTTCAAGTGCACGAAAGGATTCATCAGATGGTTCAGTTGGATGATTTATTGGATGTTTTGGTTCTTCTCTAAATAAACAAAACGTTAATTATATACCACTTAGATTCTACATCTTCGAGAAGATATGATTATCATTAATAGAATATCTTAAATCCTAGGTAGACGAACTATTTGTTTTTTAAGATAATGATTCTTATTTCTGAAAAAAAAGCTTCCTTCTTTCCTCTAGGTTCAAGATAAGCTTAACAAATATATTTTATCTGAAACATACTGTGTTGATGTAATAATATTATTGAAATCATTTTCTTTTTCTGAATCATTTAATGTTGATGGAATATTAATCGTTGATTGACGTTCAATTGTAAATGTTGATGATTTACGCATCAATGATGGTTTATATGAAAGTGGTTCTTGTTCTATAATTTCATCTACGATTTCTGGACTGTAACTTTCGATAGTAGGTAATGTTGAACGTGTTAAATCATGACGATGATTAGGTGATATCATTGAATTTCGTTGTTGCTGTTGATGATCATTATTATCATCAACAATAGTTTGTTCTGTATACCAAACAGGTTGGAGACTTTGTTGTCGACTATTATTCATATCTGTAGTTGTTGTTGTTGCAGTACTAGTATCCATAGGTACTTCATCTGGAGCAAGAAGTTTTAATGGTGTACGTGTTTGTTGAAATTTTGGAAAACTTTCTTTGTATTCAAGCAATGAAACTGGTGTTTTTGTTGGTGCCGAAGCCATACGATTTGCCTGTTCGATAGGTCCAAGGCTTATATCACTAAAAAAAATATTAAAAAAAATTTTTTTTCAAAAATAGAACTAAATGAATAGAACAAACCAAACATAAGGACTTGTTGCTGATAGATGCGTAAGCATATTAAATAATCGAAAAGATTTAATTAAAGAACTTAAGCGGTAGATATCATGAAATTATTCTAAAGATTAAAAAAAATGTATATGAGTGAATTGAACAATATTATACAACGATCGATCGATCGATCGGTCACCAAATTCATAATCGAATCATTGTCCTAATGATGCGAACGAGCGGTCTTTGTATATTTCTGACGAGATAACTACGAATCAAACGAATAGTGGAAAATAATGTCGCTGCTATCGATGTCACATCAACGATTTTCACACATAGAAACATTCGTTTTTTCTCTAGTCATGAATATCGTATTGTGAATTATGACATATATATGTAATCTTCAACCAATCCTATATAATTTGTGTATTTCTTTGTTTTTTAATATGAAAACAATCGTTATAATAATGTTATTAGTATGACTTAAAATTTTCGTTAATTAATGATTGAAAAATCTATATAAAAACAAAATATATCCGTGTATGATGATTTTTTCAGACAAATAATTATTTTGACTGGTTTCATGTGAACACAACAAAATATAATAAATAGTTTGTATATCCGTTAGTTTCTTTTTAATTATTTAGAGATATTTATTATGGATGGTACAGCAATAAAAGCTTTTCTTAACATTTGTTGTACTCATCTTTCGTTATTAATTAAAATAGTTTATATGTATAGTATTCAAACTTGAATAAAGATCATGAATGAAAATGGATCTGGACGAACAGTCTTGCCTGCAAGAATGTGTTCATGATGCAATCGTTATCGACTTATCCTTTTAAATGATTAGTTTGATTTCTGTCGACATTTATATAGTATATATACGAAAAGCTGTGAAAAAGGTCATTAATAATAGAATTGCTTTGTCTTCATAATTATTTACTGCATATATTGTAGAATAGTTATATATAAGATCTTTTAATTGATTATTTAAATGAGCTGTCTAATCCAATGCTCATCTTTATGTTTATCATAATGAAAAATCCGTTCACTATTCTGAACAACGAGAAATTAAAAAGACTTATAGATTCATTTCTTATTGTTCAATATATTAATATATTTCATATAAATAAATCGTTTTAAATCGATTCGTATACTGTTATTCTTTTAGATTCTATGAGCATTCTACCATAACTCTGCTATCACTTTGACAATCCTCTATAACAATGCTCTGATAATAAATTCAAATTAAGGGAAAAGTATATATAGATGTTTTAACAAAATAAAATATGTTACCATCATATATTCTATCTCCATAAAAGAAATACTAGAGGTCACTAGTAATACTGTTTTGACAGATTGATTGGTGGTTGTGTCTTTTCACGCATTGCCTGCGTGATATTATTTTATTCAGTAGTATTCAGTATACGTTAGCTATTTGATTGAGTGTATACTATCATTTTTCCCGTTAATCATTTACATTGACATTTCATTTTTGACATAGAACCGCATTCTAGATTTTCATTCTTTGTCAAACAAAGTCTTTCAATTAATCTTAAATAAATGTGAGTCATTCTCATTACATAACTATATATTTATTTGAATTATTCAGATGGATACAACAAGTTATACCGGTTTACCAAATAAACTATGTCAAGGTTTAACCTCAGTAAAATCATCATTAACAACAGGTCATATGCTTGAAAAATCTGAAACAACACATATTGATAGCCGGGATAAATTTAATCATCATATGGCACGTAGTGTTTTAGGTATTCAAGCACCATTAAAACTTCAAACTGAATTACAAATAGCCAGTAAAATGGGTCGTTTACCATGCTTACCTAGTTCACGTTTAATGTTAGATGTTTTACGTGGTACAAATGAAGATATATCATTTGATGATATTTTAAATAATCCAAGAGAATTTGGTGAATTACAAGTTGATCCACATTTAGCTATGGATAGACATGATCGTTTGTTTTAAAAAAACAAAAATGATTCAAATATAAAAATTAAACTTTATAAAAAAAAAATTTCTTTTTCTGTCTTTTTCTTTTTATTGTTATCATTTTCTAATTAAACTCGATTTATGTTTTCAACTTTTAGATATGTTTAAATAGTTATGCCAAAATATACAAAAAAAAGTAATATAAAAAACATTTAGTTATATTTTACGAAATATGATTTTTTTTAGATCGCCCACCTAGGAGTAAGACATCAAGATCAGGTGCTGATGATAGTGTATCTATTGATGATGGTGTGAGTACCTGTTCAAATATTTCTGATTTAACAAGTATCTACGATGATAGTGAAGGTAAGATAAATTTCACATAGTTTTCCTTCGGTGAACAGAAATATTTCATATTCAGTCTAACTTTTCTCTCTCTTTTGACATCTATTAATAAATAGAAACTTTCGAATAATTACAAATAATAGACGATACCGATGCACTATTCACCAGAAGCAGATATAATTTATTAATTGTATATGTAATCTGGTTTCTATGCTAGATTCTTTCTAGAATCTGTAATATACATAAAAGTCTATGCTGAACAGTAGAAAGTATTTGCTATATGAAAAAGTAATTCTTTCGTTCATAGTATTGAAGTCATAGAAAGTCCTCTCATAAACTTTTCTGGAATGTTGTTCGAGTTATTTAGATTGAATTAGTCACAAATATGAATCATCCTAGATATAGTCCAGAGAGGAATGTTATCAGACGTATTTCTCCCATACTAATGGGAATTATTTCGAAAACAAAATGGGTTTTATGACTAATCTTTGATTTCAATGATTAATCGAATTTTTAATATGTTTGTTGTATATAACCCTCTATCGAACGCGAGACGGTCGTAAAACTGTATAATGTATTTGATGACATTAGCGACATCAATTTATCATACTTACGATAGTTCAATCATCGTTTAGCGATAAAATAGTATCTAATTTAAAAGAAACAGATATCAACATTTAAATTCTAAGTTTGAATTTTATTATACAACTTAATTTGACTCTAAAAGCTATCTGTTTTTCTTTTTAACGAGAGACTATACTATATTCATGAAATAAAAATCTATTTGATTTTAGTTGGTTTTCCTACATCAAATGATACTATACTTTCAACTGATATTCTTGATGAAAAACTTGATATAGCAATCGAAGGACTTCGAAATAAAGAGTAATTATTAATCTAAATTAATCAATATATTATTTAGTATTTTTTTTTGAATTTTAGTTTACGAACACGTGAAAATTCTTTACGTACACTTCAAACATTATTTTCTCAAAAATATGTTTCTGAACTAGTCATCAATCGGTATGAACGAAAAAAAAATTTAAATAATTTGTTTTATTAAATTAATGTATAGAAGTGAAAGTTTGACCGATCAATTAATAACATGTTTAAGAAAAGGCAATGAATCGGAAGGAAAATTAGCAGCTATTGTGACATCATTATTTTTTATTCAACTCGGTGAACCAAATGATGAATTATTTTTACAATTTCGTGATATTATATTACCAATATTACGAGACGAATCAAAATCTTCATCAATACGAAAAAATGTATGTTTATATCAATAGATAAAATCTAACGGATGTTGTATTACTTTTTTTTTGTATAGTATGCTCAAGCAATAGGTATCATTTGTTTTATTGCTTGTGAAGATATGTCAGTAAGTATTTGTTAAGATAAAAGAGATATGAGTTATTTATGATTTGTTTTTCTCTTAAAGTCAACAGTTGAATTAATGAAAACATTAGAAACAATTTTTTCTCGATCATATTTACTTCCTGATCGTACAACACCTATTATCAATCATGATTTACAAGAATTACATACATCAGCACTTTCATCATGGTGTCTTCTTATGTCAACTATGCCAAATAATCTTGCACATGAATTAATACGAACGTAAGTTTGCTTTTGATGACGAGTATAAAAAAAACATCTAAGAATAGTTTCATGATTGGTATTATAATATAAATATTCTATTGAAGTGACTTTAGTGGAAATATTTATATATGTTTAGGTGACATATGAAGTTATCGATGCGGAATAGATTTTTGTTGTTGTTGATAAAACGGTCGCCTATGACTATTGAGAAGTATTGATACCAACTAATTTTACGTAATCGTCGTAAGTGTTGGGTAAGTCGATGAAGTGAGTTGTATAGATCAATTGTTCATTTATAATGAAAGTAAAATATAATCTATAAATCTCTTTCTGCTTCTTATTCCATACAGAATAGGACATGCACTATATATGCTTACAAGCATTTATTTGATTGATACATAGATCAAACTCTTCCTATTCTATTCTATATTAAATTATTTCTTTTAGTTATGCACCGGAAAAAATTCCTGGTCTTATTGAATCTAATGATGGTGATTTACGTAATCAAGCAGGTGAAACAATTGCTGTTTTATATGAAATAGCCCGAGATATAAATAGTGTATGATTAAATGGAATATTTTCTTTCAAAAGAAATTTTTTTCTATTAATATTCTTTAGATTTTTGCTGAACCACCGGAATCGTTATTAATAACATTAGAAAAAAAAGCTAATGAAAGTGCAAAATATCGAGGAAAGAAAGAAAAACGTTTACAACGTGCTACATTTAGAGAAATTTATAATTCATTTGAAGTAAATTAATTCATTTTTCTTATTAATTAAATCTTCTGTTTCTTTTTTTTCTACAGGAAGGTACTTCACCAGAATTCGATATTAAATTTGGTCGTGAAACATTAGAAATAACTTCATGGACAACTCGACTTTATTATAACATATTTAGTAGTTTATTAGCTACTGGAATGAATATACATTTAAAAGTAAGACAATATTTCTTCTTAGTCAATTCTTATTTTTTCGTAAAATTAGGAGAATGGATTTCTTCGTTCTGTTTTTAATTTGGATGATTTAGAAATTGAAGATATTCATCAATCAAAAACTAATCGATTCGAACGAGTATATATAAACAATTAACCTTTTATTTAAATTAAAATTTTTTCTTTTAGCAATTAGCTAATAGAGCTGCATTTAAAGTTCGTACTCAAGCACTTAATAAAACTCGTGCAAATAAAGTTACACGTATTCAAAATGAAGATTAGTAGTAAAATTAAAACAGTGGCTTCTTTAGTGTATATATTATTTGATTTATTATTCCTGCTATTTATTATTTCAAGCAAGATGTATTTATATATTAGATTAATCTGTACTTAAAACCTGGATATCTTTTTTTATGTCCTCAGGTTTTTTTTCACTCTATATATTTTTTTTTCTTGTTTTTGAATAAAGCTAGAATTCACAGAGACGTAAATATTTATTCTTTTTTTTTAAAGACGAAAATCAAATAATGTTCGAAGTGTATGTTCGAAATAAACATCTTCTTTTACCGTTGCACTCAGCATTGCACAAAAGCCAAGAAATTCTTCTTGATCAATGATACCATCTTCTTGGCCACGTGTATCGAATTTATTTAAAAATTTTTTTAAAGCCTAAAATATAGAAGAGATTGACAAAAAAATATATATATTTGTTTTTTGTTTATTGTAGATTATATATCTCTAAATTATTTTCGAACGTATGTTGATATACTAATCAAATAGATATCTAACTTTATGATGCTATAAATGAATATACTAACTAATAATTCTAATGTAATTTTGTTTTCTTGACTTTCAGCAATATTCTTCTTATCAAAAATAGCTGTATAGTAGATATTATTGGATTCTTTTGATTCATGGTACGATGATATTTCTGTTGTCTTTCATCACTGGATTAACAGTTTATTAATAGCGTTCGAAATTCTCTTATTCCCAACTAAAGATTATTGATCAATTGAGTTCTTAACTAATTTAACTTTTAATACCAATAGAATAATTCATATTCATGTTACTAGAGACTGATATTTTCATTTGAACCTGACAATGACATCCTGAAAGATGATTTATTCTATAAAAAGAACTGTTATTTCCTGATAAATTGTTATTGCTAGTCTAATATATTCAATACAAGGCGATCGATGAAAAAGATTTATCGATAAGAATTATTCTATTCACAATACTAACAAACACACTGTCAAATTAATTTATCATTTCGTTAGATTTTCTTACGTTATCAATACTTTGACTTGATTTATTTTTAGTAGGTTTTAATTGTGCAGCATATTTTGCCTAAAATTAACGTCTAATTACTGATATAAATAGTAAAATAGTTTCTAATACTTTAATATCTGTAATAGTTAATCGTCCATCTTTATCAACATCGATTGAATTAAATAAATTTAAAGCAGCTTTTTGTCGTCGATCATTCATAGGTGGTTTTAATTGTTGAAGAAATTCTGAAAGATCAATTTGTCCATTATGTGTTGTATCGAATTGTTGAAAAAGATCCTTGATTTCTTCATTACTATTTATATTAAGTTGAAGTAATTTGATTGCTGCACGGAATTCTTCAAAATTTATTCGACCAGAACAATCTATACGTTATCATAAAAATGAAACTTTCGTTATTAAATAAAAAACAAACCTCTATCAATTGCTGTAAATATTTCAATTAAATCTGATTGTTTTGTTGTACTATCTAGTAAACGTCGACGTAGTATATCCATAGTTTTCTTCAAAAAAGAAAAGAAGGAAAGGAAGTGAGAGAAAAATATCTGAATGCATGTTATTTATGAGTAATAACTTTCTTTTTCTTAACATGTTTACTATGGTTTCTATAGAAAAATACTTGCTATTTCAATTTGTAGTTCTACAATGTGGACATAAATTTTTTTACAAAACACATAGAATAATATAGCAGTCTTCCATTAGGAAATTCCCATAATTAGATCTTTATGCCTACTAGCATTTTTATTATATTTCCTTTTTCTCTTTTTCTTTTCGACAGTAGTTGCTATTTCTACATCATGTTGTCACCTCTTCATTTTTATATGAAGATAAGAGTATTAAATATTCTAGAGAAAGTCGATTAGTTTTTATCATAATCTATTGCTGACAAGTATAAAGATTTATATATTGCTATGTGAGACAATAAATCAAACGAAGTAATTTTTATTTCATATATATAGAAATAAAGAAAAACTACGGCATGTTCTTTTTTCCTATATATCGATCATTTTTAATGAATCATCGATTTTTGTTCCACTATGTAATAAATGATGTTGTCGAAGACGTATTCGTAAAATCTCTGTTCGTAGATAGTTTCTTCGTTGTATTTCACTTATTGGACTTTTTTCTAATTCATCATTGTATGTTGATGGTTGTTCATGTTTTTTCTTCAATACTTGATTTATTTCTTCGTTTAAGATATTGGGATCTGATGAACGAAGAAATGTAAGTACTTGTCGAAGAGTGATTGATTGATCAATTTGTTGACTGGATGATTTTTGAAGATAAGAATTACAATCCTTATTTTTAAGTATTGTTCGTTGATTACGATCAGTTTTTAAACGAGAGAGAAGATCATCACATCGACGTGATAAATCATCTAAATCATCATTTTTATTTTGTTCATTCGAAGAATTAATTGGAATATTAAATCGTACTCGATGTGTAGTATCAATTGTAGAAGTTTTTTGTTGTTCTTTTAATATTTTCTTCTTATTAATTTTTTCATGTGAATGATTATCATTATCTAAAGGAATAAAAAATCCTATGAATTGTTGTTCCTGTTTTGGTTTTTCATGTTTTGTTCGATATTTTTCACGTAGAAGATGTTCCGCTTTTTTACGTTCATGACGTGTATAACGTTCAAGTTCTTGTAGACGTTGTTCAGTACGTTGATAATTACGTACTATATCTTGAAGAGTTTCAATTGAAAGAGAGGACTGTAATTGATCGGTTTTATGTATTCTTTCATTCATATTGTTTGAGGCACATTGTGTTCTTATTCATAATTTAGTTTTTTTTGAAAAGAATACATTAAATTTCTCAAGACGAGAACGAATGAAACAAAAAAGAAAGTGCGTGGTAATCTTTTCTATGACATGGCAACAATCATTGATGTGGTTAAATTTCTTGTTTCTTTCTTCCTACTTTTTATTTATAGAGAAAGAAAGAACTAAAATAATTTTCTCTATTTCTATTTTACAATATATAACTAAATTCTAATTTATTTAAGAAAAATGAGAAATCGATCAAGTATAGTTAGATTTGCACTTTGCGGTAGTCTTCTATTTGGTTGTGGTATTATTATTTTGAATTTTATCTCACATACTCAACAACTAAATGACGATTTTTTAATTAAAAAAGAGACTAAATCTATTGAATCAATTCCTACTGCTAATACATTTATTGAACATAAAAATAATCCGAAACCAATTATAACAAACACCGACTACGATTATAAATCACCTAGTCAACCAGAAAAATTAAATATGAATCTTAGTGAAACAGATATTCCAAACGTACAGATTAAAGTCTATAATATTTCTATAACTAATAATAAGGTATTATTTATTATAAAAAAAAGAAAATATTCAAAACATTAGAATTTATATATATATAGAATAAAAATATTCTTGTTCGTGAAGCTGGTCAAAGTAATTATCATATACTTTTATTACATGGCGAGGCATTTACTTCGAAAATTTGGTGGGAAATTGGTAAAAATTGCATGGAAATTTCTATACGATAAATACAATCATTTTTTCAGGTGCATTACAATTTTTGAGTACGTGGGGTTATCGAGCAGTTACTATTGATATTCCAAAAAAAGGAAATCATTCATTACCTGTAACTAATGATAAACAAGCTGTTCAATGGTTAAGAAAACTTATCCAAGCACTGGAACTTTCAAATTTAGTTATTGTTAGCGCATCAGCGAGTGGTGATTTAACTTTACCTTATATTTTTCAATTAGAAAAAGAACAACAATTAGTACGAGGCTTTGTACCTATTGCACCAGTTAGTACAGAAAGACGTGCGTTGGATTATTTTCGACAAATTAATGTAAGTTTAAAATTGCATTTATATTGTTTTTTTTTCATATTTATTTTATATAAGGTTCCAACATTAGTTGTTCATGCTGAAGATGATTCTCCATTTCAACCTGCATATGAAATTCTTATTGAAATTCCAAATAGCGAAGTTTTATTTATGATCGATGCTGGTCATGATTCTTATGTAGATCAACCATTGTTTTTTCTTAATGGACTTCGACAATTTCTTTATAAAGTCTATCGACCAATTTACAAAAATTCGAAATGGTTTTAAAAACGAACAGATAATAAACATTTGTAAAATTGTAATAAAGTGTTCTATTTGCATTTCTTCATAGTAATTATTTTTAATCAAAAGCAATAAATATTACGCAATTATTATTAATCTTATAAAAGAAATTTCTATTGAAATATTTATTTATCTGTGCTTAAAAATGTATGTTACTTGTACGTTGTGAGTGACATATGTTTTTTATTTCTTTTTTAATTTAATACTTGTCAGTTTTTTTAAGCACCTACGTAACAAGATATGAGTAGAATTAAAAATCATTTTAATAATAAGATGAAAGTATATTTTACATTTGCATAAATCAATTGTAATATTTTATTTAAAATGAAATAAAGTCTTCTCTTCAATAAAAAATTGAGATTGAACGTTTTATTTTGTGTGCATGGATGGTATATCAAGAACAAGAAGAAAAATATCATTGAATCACAATGAATTCTTTTCTCTCTTTGTTAAAGTAGCCGTTTTTCAGAAGCGAAAATCTTATCTATATACAGTGAACTTCTCCGTTTTATGAACGGTCTCAGGTCTGACGAAGCGATTTTTGCTGAAAATGCATCTCTCCAATATGCCCACTTCTTTATTCTGAACAGTGAACGCTGGATGAGCTTCCTAAGTCGTATTCGAATATAAATAGACATCCAACTGCACACTATTAGTTCGAAAATAAATAGTGAAATTTAGAAATAGATTCAGTTTTACTCTAAGATGTATATAATTCATATATACGACCAAAGGGCGGGTGAAAGAAGGAATTAATACTGAAACTTTATTCATTTTTACATCATATTAAACGAAAATAAGCAATACAAAACTGAATATCACAACATATAGATTTCTCAACGAACAATACTTATAACGATAATAATCAATATGAATTCAATATTCATAAATAAACAGGAACAATTTCACTTACATACTGACATAAAAATAAGAAATATTAAAAAAATTAAAAGCAATTAAAATTAATAAATATATAAGAATATATTCATAAGATTGATTTCACTACTGAAATCGCAAACAATATAGGATTATTGAGTACCCGTAATTGTTCTCATTTGCACTGTGCCTCGTGCGGTTTGATTGACTGGCATCACTGTGTTTATTGTTCGTAAGTTTAGAACAATTTTTTTCAGTTGTGGAATAGAAAAAAGCAATGCTACACTCAATCCCATTTGAGATGCGCTAACTGGAAAAAATGCAATTCGAGCAAGTATGGGATGTTCTTCACCTGTTATTATAAACATAAATATAAGAGTCATTCCAGGTATTCCAAGAATAAGTAATAAACTAACAATAATTAGAATACGTTGAGTAATAAGTAAATCTCGTGATTGTCTTTGTTTGACTACTAATGTTTGAATATTTCCTTGTTGATGAATAAATCTTGTTATATGTATGTAAATAAATAAGATACAACAAAATGGACCCATATAAACAATAGATGCTACCGAAAGAATACCAGGAATATTTGTGAATGTTGCATAACAAAAATAATCATTTGGTAGATATGTTACAGCATTCAAAGGTATAGCAACACATAGAAGAATAACTGTTAGTATTATTATTTCTATAAATGGTAAAACTATATATAATTTTAAAGATTGAAACCATCTATTTCGATAATAAACAACTCGAATAAGACGATAGAATGCCTAGAATTATTCAAAAAAGAATATATAATTTTTTTAAATTCCTATTATTTCGAATTACCTGATTTACAAACATCATGTATAACATACCAAGCAATACAAGAACTAAATATCCTGAAAAAATACACCATGATGAATTAAAAGATTGATTATATAAATCACCCAGAATTGCTCGAATATTCATTGATATTAATATTGATGAATATATTAAAAGTACTAAATATATATGACCACAAATAACAACAGTTATTTTGTCTTCACGTTTGACATGATTATGATAAAGATGATATATAATAATAAGAAAAATTATGCATGATATCAAACATGCAAATGTACTAAAGCCAAGAGAAACCGAACTAAGTATAAAACCATTGGTTTTTGTTTGATCATTAATCATAATAGAGATTTGTATTGAATGTAATTATATATTGGCAATACCTAATATATATCTAAAGTGAATTAGTAAAATGAGTAAATATTTTTAAATAATATAAATGTCCAAAGGAAAAGCCTGATAAGTAGAAAAAAATTTCATTATCTTTAAAACATTATTAATTCGCAATAGTTGGATAATCTGTTATTAATCAAAATTCTTTTTGTTTTTGTCAACTGAGATTAAAATTAAAATAATGAAATATCTCAAATAGAAATAATTATTTGGTAGAAATTCATTAGTGTAAATGGTTTTTTCTTTATCGATACTATCAAAAGAATTTTGATCTAAACTTTATTGATATTTGAATATATTTTATTTTAGTCAATAATATATCTCAAGAAAATGAAATACTTTTACCTTTATAATTAATACAAAATTGAAATTACTATCATATTTTATGATGGAAGAGTATAAAGAGATTATTTTTCTAGACAAGAAATCACATGCTTATACTATTTTAGAGCATCATTATGAAAAAGATATAGTCTGGCTACTTTCATGGTACTTGTGACAAAAAACACTACGTTCACCAAATCTTTTGAAACTTTCAGGGCTTATGTAATAGTTACTTCTAAGACTTTTTTGCTGTTGGACAAAAGTTATAGGACGTCCTATTCAAGAGCATTTTGAGGGTGTGGGTGTGGGTGTGTTATACTCTTCTCAGATACACACCCACACCCATACCCATCCCCGTCGATACTGGTGCAAATGTTGATTATGCTATTATAGTTGATTATTGTCAAACAAGAATGAAATGATAATCTTAGTGAACTTTCAAAAAAGAAAATAAAAAGACTTTAGAATGTAGACACAGATCGAATAAAATCACAACTAAAAAAAGCTATGTTTTTTCTTCTCACGAGTCTAAGTGAGGGAAGTTCAGATATTTTTATCGGAGATATTCGTGGATGACTCTATAATATAGAATTGTTTCTATATATATTTACATGGATACATTCAAACATGTTCCTTAGTTGTTAATGTAATGTTAATTATTTTTTCAATAAAGATAAACAAAACTCATTCGAAACCCATTTGTGTATTTTATGTTTTACATATTGACAAAGTTAAACAAAATATTAAACGATTCATCTTATTGAATATAATATAAGAATTCAATAAAACAATATACAGTCACATAAATGTTTGATTCATACATATTAATAAAACGTTTTCAGTGCAATTCTTGTCAAATTAAAACTGTAAAATACGATAAAGCATTTTATGTTGTGAGTTTATGTATTTTTAGAATGACTATGAAAACAAGATAGCAGAGAAAGTGGATTTGAACTTTTATCTCTATATATTTCAACACTCATTTTAGTTTCTATTTCACAATATAAAATGTTTTCGATTCATTTTTCACTTTTTTAATTCTATGAAATAAATTAAAAAAAATGACTATTTATAATAATAATATTCAAAAGCTCAGAAAGTTAAACTCTTTAATATAAAGCAAAACTTTTACTCAAGAACACATTTGACATTGAACATAATCATCATTCATTGGTATTATTCTGTGCTTTTAATTATTGTGTTATTACACCCTCTACATTTATTCTTCTTTTTGTTTTTGTATCAAGATCATTGCGTTTAGTAATACAGTTTAATTATAATACTGGAACTTTATTTATTTTTACATCATATTAAACGAAAATAAACAATACAAAACTGAGTATCACAACATATTGATTTCTCGACGAACAATACTTATAACGATAATCATCAATAGGAATTCCACTTATATACTCATATAAAAATAAGAAATATTAAAAAAGTTAAAGTAATTAAGATTTAATAAATATATTGATAAGATTGATTTCACTATTGCAATTGTAAACAATATAGAATTATTGAGTACCAATAATCGTTCTCATTTGTACAGCTCGATTGACGGGCGTCACCGTTTTCTTTGTTCGTAAGTTTAGAACAGTATTTTTTAGTTGTCGAATAGAAAAAAGTAGTGCTACACTCAATCCTGTTTGAGATACGCTAACTGGAAACAATCCAATTCGATAAAGTAATGGATGTTCTTCACCTGTTATTATAAACATAAATATAAGAACCAATGCAGGTATTCCAAGAATAAGTAATAAACTAACAATTATTAAAATACGTCGGGTAATAAGTAAATCTCGTGATTGTCGTTGTTTTATTTTTAATGTTTGAATATTTCCTTGTTGATGAATAAATCTTGTTATATGTA